TTTTTTTTTTTTTTTTTTTTTTTTTTTTTTTTTTTTTTTTTTTTTTTTTTTTTTTTTTTTTTTTTCCAGTGCTTTATTTTAGCACGATTTTATCTTTCTCGGCTAGAAATTTCATACTCTCCTTAGGTGCATAAATATCCCTAGAAAAAATATTGAAAATTCAATAAGGTATTCTGAAACAATAAATAAAATAAAAAATAAATAACAGAAATAATACTAAAAATTCTCCCAGCAGAAAAAATTTTGTTTCACAGCAGATAACAATCGGGATAATCTGAATACTGACGAGGTATTCCACTTAGTCCAAGAAAGTGTTGTGGAAAAAATGTTAAATTTACTCCCATGAACATGGACAAATGACTTGCGTCATCTGATTTCAATCATTAGTACTTTTGTCCATTTCAATGCTACGTGAAGTAATAATGATTATTCCATTTTCTGTTTCAGGATTGAAAGCCACGGGCCTCTTATAAGGTATGTTTTTTTAAAATTCTACATCGAGACAATTTCTGTTCACTCATTCGTACAATTTTTCATGTCAAATTTTAAACAAAATAATTTTAGCACGATAAACTGGATCCAGAAATGGTTAGAGTTGAAAATCTTATCTCGTTATCATCACGACAATAGATTGTGGACTTAAAGGGACTGATTATCAAATTCTCGACTGTTGGTTGTTTTTCTTTTAATTATCATCAAGACTTACATATAAACAAATATTGTCGCATAATGCCGCTCCCTGCCACTCTATAGGGCCCCTTACCTCCACAGTTTACCATGAAACCATGACTTGAAATTAAAGTTCTTATATTTCTTAAAAACTTAGAGTCTGAGTGACATATAACAGTGACACAATACGTCGCTCCTGACGTAAGGGCGTAATACACTCTGCAATGAACCCCCCTGTCCAGTGGCGATTCTTGAAATTTGGAAATACTGTTTTTCTTTCATTTAAATGTATGTAAAACAATCGATTCTTGGCAAGGGAGCTTGCCTTACCTTAAGTCGATCTTTCCAATGGATTTAAATAGAGTAAAACTAGTTTTACCAACTTGCCAAACTGCCAATGACCCTTGCGTCCATTCAATTCAATCCTTTCCGGGCAATTGGGCTCATTTCAATGTATAGTCACGCTCTTTCGTCAGCCGTTCGACGAATTTATCAGATGGGTTATCACCAAGTCTTCTGTTAACAGTTATTCCAATCGATAACGAAAATACAAAAAGTAGCTAATCAGTTTTAAACAATTCAACAGGAGTAGGTTCATTTTAGAGGATAATATCGCATTAAATGTACCGGTAATTCGATTCCAGTATTGAAGTAAAACCCAAAAATTCCAGGCTCCAGGTGGTCTCTCGAGGGAAATAAGAAAGGAGCATGAAAGAACGGATTTTACGTTCTTTTTTCGATCAGTCGCTAGGACTCCATTATTAATCGTTATTCAATTTCGCATTTTTCAATTTGTCTAGAGTGAAATTCTATCGGCGCCTAAATATCCTTGCAGGAAAAATTCAAAATTCATTGTTCCATAAAGTCAGCGGAAAAAAAGCAGAACTAAATGGATTTTAAGTTCTCTTTGGATATGCCATACATTCAGATTGATAGCGCATGGTTAACTTTTTTCCATCGAAATTTCATAAGCCCGGTGTATGGCAGGGTAACTTCTCTCCTTTTGAAATCCAATTTTTACCTATTTCCCATACCAAAATTGAATCGTGGAACTTGCACTGTTCTTCTTGTCAAGCGTTTTCATTTGACCTTGACGCACCAAAATTTTCTCGCTCATTTTCCAGTGTTCATAAAATGGTTCCTATATTGAATAACCTTTACTATTAGGAGTAAGGTCATGCCTCACGGCTGTAAATTTTCTCATTTTGAAATCCAATTTTCCCCCCTCTCCCGTATCCGAAAAGAAAAACTACAACATTAAGCTAATTCATTCTCTAAGTACTTTCATCCGAAGCAACATTTTCCATTGCAAATCGTGTTCAGTGTCATCATACGTCCCCTTGCACGAATTTCATCGGAGCACGGTAATTTTTCTCTGTGTCCTTCCCTGTTCCTCGAATTTTTTTCACTTTCCCGAAAGAAAAAAGATGAATGGAAAGAGGAAGTTCTAAAGAAGGGGGATTGAATATCTTTTATTAGAGAAGTAATGCCATGGTATATGGCAGGATAAAATTTCGCCCTTTGAAACAAATTTTCCCTACCTCCCGTAATAGAAAAAATTTGTGCAACATGCAGCTAATTCATCTCTTCAAGTAGTTTCATCCGAAGCAATAACATTTTCTCGAACATTTTCCATTGCACATCGTGTTCAGTACCATCATACGACGCCCCCTTGCACGAATTTCATCGGAGCACGGTAATTCTTCTCTCTGTCCTTCCCTGTTCCTCGAATTCTTTTCACTCCTCGGAAAGGAAGAAGATGAATGGAAAAGAGAAGTCTTAAAGAAGGGGGAATGGTTGTAGGAGTCGGGGCGACCGAAAAGGAGAGCTTTGCGCGGGCCGCGGGTCAATAATTCTCTTTTCTCGGAGCGCGCTCTGGCGCCCCCCCCCCCCCCCCCCCCCCCCCNGCCCCGCCCTCCCTCCGCCCTGGTCCTCGGATCCACTCGCCGAGTCCCGTCTCCCGAGTCCCGAAGTCTTCCAGTATTCCTCGAGCTCTCGTTCCGAGTGGAGGCCGCGTCGTTTTTCGGGCCTGTCGAGTGTGTTTTCTCCTGTGTTTTGTTTGGGTTCGATTGTCGCGTCCCTGGTTTTTTCGAGACAGTTTGCTCTTTCGCTGGATGGTTGTCGTTTGATGCGAATGTCCGCCGAGTGCGAAGTCGTCTGTTGCGGGGGTGAAGTGTTACGGTTTCATGTGCTGGCCGGGTTGACATGTGATATGTAACCCGCGTCGACGAGTTTTGGATACTTTCAGAGGATTTTCGTCGACTCATGGAAATCTGGTTCCTTCTGCCGATTCTAGTTACAGGTAAAGAACCAAGGTTTTTGGTGCACGATACTTGGTAGTTACGGACGTGCGCTCTGAGGAGGCGTAAAACGACGTTTTGTCGTTCGACGGTGTCGCCGAGATGCGGTGAAATTCTTGACGCAGGTGCACCGAATTAACTTCGAAAGCTGTGTTTCTTTCGACGGGGTTCCTGTATCGTTAGGAGTAAACATTTGGCGCTTGAGAAAAGAGGAGTTTCGGAACTGAAACAGCGCCTGTCTGCCCGTCTGTTACCGGTGCCATAAGGCATAAGGCGCGCCCTGTTAGTTGGTGAGCACTGAGTTTTGGATTTTACCTAAATAAATATCCATAAATGAACCAAAGAGAACGAAAACGCACTAACTCAATAATATAAATATAATCAAGACAAACTGCTCAGTAGGTGAAGAAGTTCGTCTAAGGAATAGGTTTTTGGTACCGAAGGACAAGTACTTGAGGACACTTTAAAGCTCCAAGCTGGAACAGATGCGCTAACTTAAATGACCTTTATGAAAATTAACTGCTCTTAATAAACCGATTCAAAAAATGGAAACGATGTAAGGCGATGAATAATTCGTTTAGCGCAGAAATGCAGTAAGTTTCGAAGTATCTTGAGAAAAAATTGCTCTTCGGAGCAAAGGAGTAGAAGTGCGTCAGGAGTAAACATTTTGCGCTTGAGGAAAGAAGAGTGTTTGATCTAAAACAGTACCTTGTCTGCTCGCCAGAAACCGGTGCCTCAAGGCGCACCCTGTTAGTTAAAAAGCACTGGTTTTGGATATTAAATATCCAGGAATAATGGATCTGTACAAGGTGATGAATTATTAGCTTAGCGCAGAAAAGCCGGAAGTTTTGAAGTATCTCGAACAAAAATTGGTTGTAGGATATTTACTTACTTTACAATTCTTGATGTTCTGAACCTCGCGTCTTGGGTCGGATATTAATTACTACTAAATGCCCACACTCAAAGGCCCCTTTAGTCATTATGAGAATACGAGTAATTTGATTTTTCCAAGACAAATAATTACGGGCCTTTTTACCCCATGCAACTTTTGCAAGGACAAATTCATGGAGTAGGGATAGTTGCTCAGGGCAGCCTTTTTTTGTTTAGAAATCATTGTGATAAACTTTTTACCGAGCGGCGTAGAATACCTGCCGTAAATTTCGCCTTGTAACGCATGAAGACGAATTTATTTGGGAGTAATTTTACGCAAGGGGGTGAGTGATCGGTAATGTAGCATCGCGTCCATGATATTGGACTCCATGATCACCTATATAATGTCCGGTTGCTCATCACGTCCAAGATCTTGGACTCCATGCCCACTTTAATGAGGGATAATTTTTTAGAAAAATCGAAGTGAGCATAGCGTCCAAAATTGTGGGATGTAGGTATTCTCTGACAACACAAGAGCATATGGTCCAAAAATTTATTCAGACAATTTTTGTGAAATAAAGACGTAAAAAAGTGTTTTCGTAAAAAATTGTGCATTGGTTAGGTTAGGTAGGTTAGGTTAGGTTAGGTTAGGATAGATTAGGTTGGGTTCAAGTTAGATTAGATAAGAGAGGTATACGATTTTCGATCATGATGAACTATAAAACTAGAAAAGGTCTACTTGCTATTGGACTCCATGCTCAAGCAAAGAAGTGAGAAGTTTAGCGATGAGCATGGAGTCCCAAATTAAGAGGCTTGGTTCTTGATTTAAGCTTAAATCTGATTGAATCAAGAGTATTTTTTCTTGTCGATGCTTTAAAGAGTCTGGACTCTAGATCCAGTTCTTTTTTCCAGTGTGAGGTATTCTTTCTAACTTTGAATGAAGGATCCTTATAGACAGAAAATCTTCTCATCAACCGTTGCAAATCTTTCTCGCGCACAACTTCATTCAAGCATTTGAGAGCATTTGTCAAGGCAATCCAAACAAAATTCGAAAATTAACTCCTGAGAACGATTTAAATAATGTATCAAGCATGCGAGGAACATTTTGCGAGATTGTCCGTTTTACTACGTCCCTCCCATTTTGAGCAAACCTGATTGATGCAATTCGGAAAAATTGACTACCGACGCGGTACTTAAATTTGAGAAGGCGCGACGTGAGCCGCACAAATTTTGCGTTCAGGAGTTGGTTTTAGGTATTCCTGAGGCGCCGAGCGTGGTTTTTGTGCGATTTTCAGCAAAACTTCTTTCAGCATGACTACAGGTATCTGAGGTCTGTGAAAGACTATGATTACCAATGTTTCACCTGAAGTTTTGCCCAAGTGCTCCCATTCCATGGCCAGTGTTCGAAACTCACCTTTGAGTTTGAGGAGCCATGTGGCGCACCAAGCCCAATTCTTAGGCGCCATCGAAGATTTTTTAGGGGCCAAATTGACTTTTTGCCTATATATTACGGCGCATTTAATGAAAAGTTAGACGCAAGATGTTTTCGTAACAGAAATAGTAAGGAGCTGTAACTTGGGGAAGATTAAAGCACCAAGGATGAAATCGGGAAAAATAGACAAAGCTTTCACTTGTAGTGCTGAAAATTTCGAATAATCACCGAATATGAAAATTCAGATTTTCAGGGGCCTTGTTGGCGCAGAGCCTTCATTTTTTAGGTGCATTTGGCGCGTTGGCGCCTGTGAGTTTCGAACACTGTCCATGGCAGTCAAAAGTTCCGGAATTTGGAACTTTTTTCTTTCAATTTCTCCCATTCCATGACCGTCAAAAGTCCCAGGATTCTTTTTAGATTTTTTCATAAGTTCCGAAAAATGTAAAGGATCCGGAACCTTTCGGGAATTTCAAAAGTTCCGGGAAAAATTCAGGCAAATTTCAAAAGTTCCGGAATTCCGAACCAGTTCCGGGAAATGGGAGCACTGGTTCTGCCAAGCCCTATAGGCTCGATGATCACCAAGAAACCGTACACATTAGATATTTCGAACTCATTTGTGATCAGTTTCTAATGCTCACTAAACAGCGTGACGTGGTCAAAACATGGTCAAGTCCTTGAGGCTGGTTTGTCCGAGTATTAAATCACGTTTCAATAGGTGGAGATGTGCCCTATCAATTCGAACTTATGTACGCAAGGTTAGACGCCAATTCACTACGACGACGCGACGCCACAATGAATAAGTGTATCAAGAGGTTATCTGATTTCGAAAGTAGTTTTTTTTTTTGTGGCACAGTTTAAAAAATCTGTCAAATTGTGCAAAACTTTTTTTTCGTTTTCTGCGCACAGTGGAAATCGAAAAGAAAAGAAATTGATAACTATCCCTCGGAGTGTTTTTTTAAAGAGCTCTACAGAATATTCCTGTTAAAGTTCGAAATTATCATGAAATTCACAGAGTCGCAGTGTTAGTCCATCTTTTCAATCCTCTTGATTCCTACTTCGCATTTACTGAAATTCTCCTTATGTACGCTACAGTTAAAAAAATTGAACTGTGAGAGATGTATTTTCAAATAAACGTAATGGGTATACTGCAATTATTTTTAAAGCTCCTATTCGTCGTGCACATCTCAAAGTGTCTCCCTCCCCCCCTTCCCCCTAGAACACACTGTGCTGAGACTATTCTCAAAATATCCGTAATGGAGAATTTGCAGGTTGCTGAAATTGTGCCAATTTCACGTTTAAGAAGAAACAACTGAGTGAATTGAGCATGAGAGTACTCTTGGTTTCTAAAATGCACAATCATTAGAGAAGAAATTACCAAATTACCTAATCTGCTAAAATACACGTGTTTAAATGAGTAATGCCGCCAGATGACGACGTTACGAGGCAGCAAATTTTCTCACTTCAAAATATATTTTTCCTTAATTTTCTTATCGGAAAAAAAATCATGAAAAATACTGCGAACGCAACTGATTAAGCACTTAGATGCAGCAATAAATTTTTTTCGTGCAAATTCTCTATTCTTGAATATTCATCTACGGATATCTTCATTAGTTTTTTCTGGCACTTGCGGCGGGTAAATTAGATTCCAGGAATTTTCCAAGCCCGCATAGATCACTCCGAGATAGTAATCTTGGTCTAGAAAATTAGAAACAGTCCCGGAGTGCAATTTTAATCCCGGCGAAAGAATCCCACATAAGGTGTTACGCGCCTATCATAGCAAATGCTCACCAGGATAACTTGCTATGTCATCGTACTCATCATTGAACCTCTTGGCTGCGTTGAGATGTTGAGAATAGGAGCCCACCGAGAGAAGAAAGAGCAGAAAAGAAATAACGATCGCTTACGGAGCTATAAAAAATAGGCCCGAAGATTCGATCCGTCAAGAACCCTCACTGCAGTCTTTCTGATTCCGATATAGGAGGCTGATTGACGAGGTGTAATCGAGAAGCGATAGGCTATTAGCGTAGGGAAAAAACTATCTTGAAATGCGGTGCTCATCAGAGGGAACAGGAATCTCAATCTCAGAGCTGAAAAATTTATATAGTAATGAGACGTTCAGAAAAAAACAGGTGGTTCTATAAAATTAATCGGGGCTTTGAAACAAGTAGATAATGTCCTGGAATCGCTGATCGAAGTTATTTATTGCGTCGACCAAATTCTACAGGAAAGGAATCCATTTTGCTCGTAATCCTGACGTGTTAGTGGATACTGAGTTGATTTTTCTGTGTAGATGTTGATAGTCCAGGATAAAGTTGCTTTTTAAATATGTTTCTAGGTACACGCACTTGTTTCGACCCTTCTTGAATGAAAAATTAGGGGTGCAAATTGTTTTCAACCGCGCCGTTACGCGTTTTTTGCTTATTGTTTGAAATCTTTTTATTTTGGTTTTGTCGGTAATTATCTCCCTTTTTCTCCATGGGTGCAGCTGGAAAAGTTCTGAAATTTTTTTGAACATATCTAGCCTCTCAATATTATTTGACCCCTATGAAAGGTAAAAATGGACCCATAGCCTCCCCTACGATTTTTTTTTCGATGACGATATATAATAATTACGGACGCCTCGATTCATAGGAAGCCGTTTTAAGTTTCTAATTGTTGTTTCTTTTTTTATTCCCCTTAACTGGGTACTTACGAGTGTGG